AGGCTGTTTCAGAAAGCTCGTTCATGCCCATCACTAGTGGTCTACGTTACACCTGGGCAGGAGGTGAGACACGGGCTAGCTCACAGTTTATAGATACAGGAAAACTCTAGGGTAAATCACGCAGATGGGATGCTGCAGAACGGATGTGCCTCATTTCATTAACTCCCTTTCCATTTGAGTTGCAGGCTTTCTTAGCTTCTACAAGTTTTGTTTGTTTGTTTTTGTTTTTTGTTTGTTTGTTTGTTTTTGTTTTGTTTTTCAAGATAGGGTTTCTCTATGCTTGGAGAGCCTGTCCTGGCACTCACTCTCTAGACCAGGCTGGCCTTGAACTCACAGAGATCCACCTACCTTTGCTTCCCAAGTGCTGGGATTAAAGGCATGCACCACCATCACCTGGCTACAAACAAGTCTTTAACAAATATTCCCAGTTATGTCTTCTTGTTCATATTGCAAATAACCTTTAATTTAGTTGCCTATAAGTGACTATCCATTTCACACCTCTCTCTAATGTACCTTCCTGGGCTAGAGACTCTCTGACCAGGGTCTCTGAATTCCCAGATCCCGCCTGTAAACTTCCTTCTTTTTCTTTCAATTCAGCCCTTTCAGGAATTCTTCCCAAGGTTGGGAATGGGGGGTCACTAATGGCTTCCGCCTGCCCTGTGTGAGATTCCCACAGCCTCTATTCTTTCCATGGACCCTTCCTGTGACATATGCCCTAGTTTTGCTTAACAAGCTGTTGCCATCGGTGCATTTAAATTATGAGCAATACCTTACTCACCTGGTAAAAGTCATGTTTTGGGCTGCTTCCACTTGAGATACCTCTCTATTTGCCTCTCTAGGTGATTACTTCCTGATAAACTAGACATTTTAACAATTGAGGCTGGATCTCAGGAATTCCTTTTACACAATTCCCAGCACAAAGATGCATCTAAAAATTTATAAGAATTTTAAAAACTTTAAGATTTATTTTTACTTTTGTTTTTTGGAGACAGGATCTCCCATAGTTCAGGGTAGCCCCCCAACATGCTATATTGTTGAGAATGGCATTGGACTCATGATCTTGACTTTTACACCCAAGTTCTGAGATAACGGACATGCAATACCATGTCTGGTTTTTTCAATGAGTTTTGACAAACATGTCCCATGCAGTAACTACCCATGTCAAGACAAAGTATATTTCTATGTTTGTTCCTTGGAATCAGCCCTCCCACCTTGTACCTCATAAGAATCACTTAATTACTTTTCATTATTATGGTATACTTTTGCACATTCTTTTACTCAAGATGATTTTAAAATTCATGCTTGTGTGTTATCAGTAAATTCTTTCTTTTTATTGCTGAGTTGTATTTCATTGTATAAATGAATTTATTTATTCAGCCACCAGTTGATAGACATTGGGATGATCCCCAGCTTGCTTATTTATTTATTTATTTATTTATTTATTTATTTATTCGTTATTCTTTCTGTGTGAATGCCCGCAGGCCATAAGAGGGCACCAGATCTCATTACAGATGATTGTGAGCCACCATGTGGTTGCTGGGAATTGAACTCAGGACCTTTGGAAGAGCGGGCAATGCTCTTAACCTCTGAGCCATCTCTCCAGCCCGATCCCCAGCTTTTGGCAGTTAGGACCAGAATTGCTGTAGGCATCTATGAGCAGGTGTCTGTGCAGACATATGCTGTCCTTAATAAAGACCTAGAAAGAGTTCTGGGTCATAATGGAAGTTCATGCTTAACTTTATAAGACATAGCCGAATTTCCATATAATGTCACTTTACAGTTCCATCGGTAACGTTTGAGAGTTATCATTCTCACCTTCATTTGAGACTGTGGAGTTTTTTCTTTTGTTTCTTTGCTTGTTTGTTTGAGGCAGCGTCTCTCCGTGTAGCCAAGACTCACCTTGAGCTCACTGTAGAACCAAGCTTGCCTTGAGCTCTTCTTCCCCTTCCTCACCTCTTGAGGGTTGAGTGCATGTGTCACCCACCAGCTTTGGCTAGGAGTAGGGCTTTTTAATTTTAGTCATTTTAGTGGGTATGTAGTGGTACTCCTATGTGGTTTTAATATAATTTCTCTTAGTCCTAATGATGATAAACATATTTCTGTGTTCTCCTTAGTCATTTGTATAGATTCTTCTCCAGTATTGGGGGACATGGTAGAACAACACCAGGACAACCCCCTACCATTGAGCTAGTCTTTTCTCTAACTTTCATTTTGAGATGGAGTCTTACTAAGTTGCCTAGACCGACCTTGAACTCACTCTGTAGTCCAAGCAGGTCTTGAACTTGCAATCTTCCTAATTTGGTCTCAGTAGTAGCTGCAATTATAACCCTGTACTACCAATTTGACCATTCTCTTCTAACATTTCCTTTCAAATCCTTGGTATATTTAAAAAAAATCAAAAGTCAGGTGGTGGTAGTGTACACCTTGAATCCCAGCACTTGGGAGGCAGAGGTAGGTAGATTTCTGAGAGTTCGAGGCCAACCTGGTCTACAGAGTGAGTTCCAGGACTGCCATAGCTGTTTCACAGAGAAACCCTGTCTTGGAAAAAAAAATCAAATGTAAGTGTTCATATGTCTATACAGAAGCCCTTTACAGTTTATGCCTTTGTGATTGTGTGCACATGCATGTATGCTGGCTTGCCTATTTATTTTCTCAATATTGTTCTTTCAAGAGATGTATTATATGGGGCTAGAGAGATGGCTCAGCAGTTAAGAGCACTGCTACTCTTCCAGAGGACTTTGGTTCAACTCCCAGCACACACATGGCAGCTCACAACTCTCTGTAACTTCAGATTCAGGGGATCTGACAGATACACATGCAGGCAAAACACCAGTGCATATAAAATAAAAACAAACCATTTAAAAATAAGGGTTATATTACAGTTTTAGCTGGACTTGGTGGCCCTTACCTGTATCTCAGCACTTGGGAGACTGAGGCAGAAGGATCACAAATTGGGCACATGGTTGAGTGAGCTTCATAGAGAGATGGTCTCAAAAGAACAAAACATGCTCGGGAAATGGCTTCATGGGTAAAGTGCTTGCTATGCCAGCATGAGGACCCGAGTTCAGATCCCCATGAGCTATAGAAAAGGCTGGATGTGGTGGGCATGTAACCCAGTGTTGGGGTGAGTGGAGACAGGAGGCTCCTGGGTTTGGTATGGAAACTGGTGGGCTCACCAGAAAGTATGTACCTAAGATAATCCCCAAAATTCCTTGCCAAATCTGCCAATAGCCCATTATTTAGCAGACTGGGACCTCATGAGCTTCTCCCCGAGCCATCAGTGGCGTTGACAGGACCAGAGCAGGCAACTGTGGTCGCTGTGTGTTCATGGTAAAGATGCCCACATCATGTCCAGAAGACAACATTTTTCAGACCTTCTCCCCATTTCCAGCACTTACATTTTTCTGCAGCCCCTCGCCCCCATTTCTATGCTGTCCTTTGGGTCTTAGTGGGGATGATATGAATGTCATGGTTAGGGCTGAGCACTCAACTGTCCTTTATTCTCAATACCTTGAGCAGCCATGAGTCTCTGCATTCACAAACTAGCATTCCGGGCAAAGAAAAGATTCTCTGATTAAGGCTGAGAGCAGCATTTGTCTGTGCATATAATAAACACAAATGTTTAAAAGGCAGTTTGATGCCGGGTCAGCTTCACCAAACAACAGCAGGAAGTTTTCAGGCAGGGCCTGTGACCTCCCTGGCCTTCCCAGTGGATTTTTAAAGAGGCATACATTTCTTTTGTGGAATGAGCCTCAAATTCAAGAGTAGAAGGCCGGGTGTAGTGGTACATACCTTTAATCCCAGCACCCAGAAAGTAGAGGCACAAGGATCTCTGTGAGTTAGAGGCCAACTTGATCTGTATAGCAGGCTCCAGGACAGCCAGCTCTATGTTGAGAGACCCTGTCTCAAAAAAATGGGTGGGGGTGGAGGTGGGGTGGGGAGGACAATTAGTTGTCCCCATAACAGTCTTGCCACACTGTTGCTGTGGGCACATCTTGCCTGGTCAATTGGTATTGTAGTTTGTATGGTTCACAGCTGGGTCAGCTGACATGTGTTCACTTCCAGAGGTCTGCTTAACACCTCGAGCACTCAGAAAGCTAGCCAGCAGAGGAGAAGCTTCCAACTCAATTCCAACTTTTAAAAAATGCTTTTCAATCAAAGTAATGTCTTCAGCAATATCATCTGGTTCTGGTAGGCAGCCAAGAGAAATGGCCAAATTGTATTGTTGGGCCTCTCTAATCAGCAACTCTTAGGAGGTATCCCTACCCGAAACTGGGCCTTTTGTTTAACAACCTGTGGCTTGTAGGAGTAGCTTATCCAGTATGAAAAAGATACCTCCTTCCAACTCTTTTAAAAAATCTTTTTCATACACTGTGCTGACTGGTTCTGTGTGTCAACTTGACACGAGCTAGAATCATCGGAGGAAGGAGCCTCAGTTGAGGAAATGCCTCTAGGAGATCCAGCTGTAAGGCTGGATCGTCAATTAGTGATTAGTGAGGGAGGGCCCAGCCCATGGTGGGTGCTGCTGACTATGGTGGGTGCTGTTGCCCATGGTGGCTGCTGCCATCCCTGGACTGTTTGTCCTAGGTTCTATAGAAGGTGGGTTGAGCAACCCATGGGAAGCAAGCCAGTAAGCAGTTCCCCTCCTTGGTCTCTGCATCAGCCCCTCCCTCTGGGATCCTGCCCTGTTTGAGTTCCTGTCCCGACTTCCTTCAGTGATGAACAGCAATTCTGAAGTATTAAGTCAAATAAACCCTTTCCTCCCCATTTGCTTTTTGGTCATGGTGTTTCTGCGCAGTAATAGAAACCCTAGCTAAGACATACCTTTTGTTTTGGTTAACCCTTCTCCTCCCACCCCCTTGCCTGCTCCCTCACACCCTCGTTCCTGTTTAAATCTCCCCACCCATGTATTCCTTTTCTCTACTTTCATATCTCCTATGACCTACTATCCCCCCCCCCAAGGTATCTCTACCCCAAGATCCCTTCCTAATTTCCTAGCGTCTATAAGTACTCCAAGTTAAACATTCAAATCTAAAGTTCTGAAGCTGGGATCCAGAGATGAGAAAGGACACGAAACGCTTGCCTCTCTAAGCCCGAGTGACCTCACTCAGAGTAGTTTTTCCCATTTAATCCATTTACTTGCAAATCTCACAATTTCATTTTTCTTCACAGATGAATGAAGATCCTCTGTGTATATGTGTATCATACTTTCATTATCCATTTGATCAGCTGATGGGCCTCTAGACTGAATCTATTTCCTGGCTAGCGTGACTAGAGCAGCAATGATAAGAGGTAAGCAAGTATCTCTGCTGCAAGACACAGAGTGCACTGGGTATCTGCCTGTGAGCGGCACAGCTGAATCACATAGTAGTTTCAGCTTTGCTGCTGTTGCTGTTGTGTTTTGTTGGTTGGTGGTGTTGGTGGTGGTGGCTTTTTGTGGTTGTCTTTGTTGCTTTTCAGAGACAGGATGAAATCCTGGCTGGTCTGGAACTCTCTGTATAAACCAGGCTAACTTAAAACTCACAGAGATCCACCTGCCTTTGCCTCCCAAGTGCTGGGATTAAAGGCATGCCCTACCACCGCCTGGCTTCCTCGGAGATTTATGTATTCTAGTTGTCCTACGACTTCATGGTAGATGCCCTTCACCACCTTGGTTAGATTTCATAATAACAGTTTTGAATGGATTTGGTGATAACTCATCTACGTTATTACCAACACTCATGATACAGGGAAATCATGAGTTTGAGGCCACCCGGCCCACGTCAAAATAAACATGATAGTCAAATCCTTGAGCTACATCCCTAGATCCCTTGTTTGAGGTTGAAACCTTTTTTTTTTTTTTCTGATCAATGTCTTGTGCTTTTCAGCATACAGGTGCTGGACATACTATATAACATTTATAAAGTATTTAAGATTTTCAATATTATTGTAAGTGGAATGGTCATTCAACTTCATTTTCCGGTGATTCATTATTGCTATATAGAAATATATTTTCAGCCAGGTGGTAGTGGCGCACACCCTTAATCCCAGCACTCGGGAGGCAGAGACAGGCAGATCTCTGTGAGTTCGAGGCCAGCCTAATCTACAAGAGCTAGTTCCAGGACTTCCTCCAAAGCAACACAGAGAAACCCTGTCTCGAGAACTTGTATTTTCGCCTCTATAAATTCACTTATTCTAGTCACTTTTTACAGGGTTCTTGAGGATCTTCTCATCTTTTTAGTATGTGAGTAAAACCCATTTTACTTTCTCCTTTCTAAAACTTAGATTATTTATTTATTACTCTCACTTTAATACATTTAACTCATTGGCTAAAACCATAAGTGAATTCAGCAGAAGTTATAAGAGTCTTCTACTATTTAATCTTCTGCATTTAAAATGCCATTGGTGCTTTGTTTGGTTTGTTTTGTTTTGGTTTGTCAGGAGGGCAGGAGCCTCCTGTGCTCAGGCTAACTTTGAACTCAATTAAGGACCTGAGCCTGTCCTTGAACTTATGACCCTCCTATTTTAGTCTTTTAAGTAGTGGGGTGATAGGCATGTGCCACCACACCCAATTCAGTGTAGGTTTTACATTTACATCGCTGATCTTTATTTATCAAGTTCAAAAGTTCCCCTCTAGTTTTATACTGCGAGTATTTTTAGTTCCAATTGTCTGTATTTCACCACTCTGAAAAATGCTGCGGCTGTACTTCTTGGTTCTTTTTTCCCCTATAAGATTATGTAGTGAGCATTGTGTCAGAGTCAAATAATCTTCCTTTCTAGCAACCTCCAGTTTGGTGACCTTGTTCAGGTGCTGTACCCACCTTAAGTTCCTCGCTTGTCTAGAAGGTTAACTACTTTATCATTAAGGGTAATTGCAAATGGTATTAGTTTTGCTTGCTTGTGTCTCACACGGGTAGGGGCTCAAAAATACTACTACCTTCCTCCATTCTTGTTTGGGCTTTATAATGACATTCATACCTGCCTCATAGTTCACGATAGGGAAGGTTCTTTTAAAGTGGGGTTTGGTTACGTACAAATATGAGAATCTCACCTGTGGTGACAGATTACACCTGGGTTTCAGTCACAACACAGTATCCATTCCGATATCTGCCTCTGCTGACTTTAGACTCCACAGTTATTCCCAGGCCAGACTTAATGGGATTAGTATGCTGTCCCAACCATTACAACAACAGAAGTCCTTCTTCAAAGATACCTAAGGACATCATGTTCAAAGCTTTTAGTTATATATCCAGGAAGAAGGATCCACAAGTCTTGGCACTTACTGATACTGTTGTTAGTCTATCTGTGTGTCTTCTAAGGCTTGATTCTCCAGATTTTAACACAACCAGAGTCAAGGGTACTGGGTCAAGGATATCACATAAAAATTATATTATAGCTCCCAGAGCAGTGATTCCAAATGCCAGTCCTAGAGCAAATGCCTGATAAAGTGTTTCACTCAGATTTCTATAGAACAAGAAATAACAAAATGATTTATAAATTCATAAAGCTAAATCAAACTAAATGTACTATCCCTTATTCTGTGATTATGTCTCTTCTATCTTTGGGTGTAAAATGTTCCCACATGGTATGTGTAGCCCTATGTGTGTTATTTGCATGTATGTGTGTTTGTACACATGTGTGCACACATGCATATGGAGACCAGAGGTTGACCTTGGGTGTCTTCTTCTCTCCCTGTCCAACTTATATTTTGAGGCAAGGTCTTTTGGCTGAACCTGAAGCTCACTGATTGGTTACATGGGATCCAATGGTCTTCCTATTTCTACTCCTCTTCCCCAAGAGCTGGAGTCACAAATTCACCCTACTCAATTGGCTCTTATATATGGGTACTGGGAATCGGAACCCAGGTCCTCACACTTGCACGGCAGACCCTTTACCTACTGAGCCATCGCAGACCCTCTGCATTGTCTTATGAGTGGTTATATTTTGCCCTTACTTGATATAATAAATTAGCCAACTTGTTTTCCCCCTTCCTCCATTTCCTCCAGCCACCCCCCCCCCCAATCCAGGGTTTCTCTGTATAATAACTCTTGCTGCTCTGGAACTTGTTTTGTGGTCCGGGCTGGCCTTGAACTCACAGAGATCTGCCTGCCTCTGACTCTGGAGTGCTTCAGAGGCCTGCACTGCCTTGCCTGACTAGCAAATTTATCTTAATCTACCACATGCTATCCATCTTTAAAAAATTATTAGCTTAAGAATTAGCCAGAGAGCCAGGCGGTGGTGGCGCACGCCTTTAATCCCAGCACTAGGGAGGCAGAGGCAGGCAGATCTCTGTGAGTTCGAGACCAGCCTGGTCTACAAGAGCTAGTTCCAGGACAGGCTCCAAAACCACAGAGAAACCCTGTCTCGAAAAACCAATAAATAAATAAATAAATAAATAAATAAATAAATAAATAAATAAATAATAAAAGAATTAGCCAGAGAAGAGGCTGGAGAGATGGCTCAACAGTTAAGATCACTGGTTGCCTTTCCAGAGGACCCCGGTTCAAACACCCCCAGCACCCACATGGCAGCTCACAACTGTCTGTAACTCAGTTTCGATCAGGAATCCAACACCATCACACCAATGTGCTTAAAATTAAATAAATTATTTAAAAATAATAATAAAAAAAAAAGAATTATCCAGAGGACCCCAGGATGCCTAGAATTGCGCCGTGGTAAAAGATCACTTAGGGAAACTATAAACTTGTTTGAAGTTACTGTTGAACTCCAGTCTTTATTCCACAACCAAGGGGTGTTAGTTTCCACAGGAGAGGGCTGCAAGGGACTCTGTGCAGCAGACCTGGTCTGTTCTAGACTAATGTCAGCCCATCTGGCTTGAAAAAAAGAAAAGCTGAAATTAAGCCAGGTGTGGTGGCCCATACTTTTAACCCCAGCACTCTGAAAGCAGATCTCTGTGAGTTCGAGGCCAGTCTAGTCTGCATAGTGTATTCTAGAACAGCCAGAGCTGTCTGCCTCTCACATACAAAGGGAAGTAATTAATTCAGTGGCTCTGGATGCTGGGAAGATTTGGACAAGTTGGGAAAAAAAAAAAAGAAGGATGGATAAATACCAAGATAGAGAATGGGGAAACATAGGTTTCTTAGGTAGCCTGTGGAGGGCACAGAGATGGAGTCCTGGGTGAGCAGAAGCTCTCAGCAAGGTGGCTGAGGCTTTAACTTTCTAAGTCTTCCTTTTCCCAGCTAATCAGAAAGGCTCCCTTGGCCTGGCCTCTCTGAGTGTTTGCCTGCTGAGATAATACTAACGGATAGAGAGCAGGGCGTCCCACACAGGCTTGAGAAGAGACTCTTTGACTTCGCTGACGGTTGAGAAGACAGTATTTCCAGACATGTGACGCTGCTCCAGGCAATCTCTCCACGGGGACGAGTTGATGGAAACGTACAGGGCCTGTAGGCTAAACACTGTCAGAACACATTATCACCAAATAAATCTGGACAATTCCATTTTAAATGTCCTGTTCCCAAACCTAATGACTAGGCAGAGAGGCTCAGTTCTGTTGGGGGAAAGGCTATAATGTGGGGTCAAAGGGTCACAAAAGGACAGCCAAGGGCTACATTCTGCCTCCAGATTCTGGTAAATGTCTCCGACACTGGGCTGCAAGATGTGACGACAGAAATTCAGAAGCTATTTCATCTGAAGACTTATCCTAGCAACAACAAAATAAATGATTTTCATTGCCCAGAGGCCCGTGTTAGATGGTATTCAGACCATAGCCCGTCTGCCCCCCCCCCCACCTTTTTGTTGGGATCTCACGTAGACCAAGGTTAGACTTGAACTTGTTTTGTAGCCAAAGTTAACCTTCAATTCCTGATTCTCCTGCCTCTGTTTCTTGAGTGCTGCAATTACAGGCATATGACATCACTCTTGATCCAGTTGGAAGAAGTTTAAATTTTTGTGTGTGTGTATGTGTGTGTTTCTTATTTCATTTTATTTTGACAGAGTTTTATGAAGCCCAGGCTGACTAGGCTGACTCAAAATCACTAGCTCTGAATTCTTGAGATTCCTCTGCTTCATTTTCTAGGTGCTTAAACTATAAGAGTGGGTCACCACACCAGCTGAAGTTTCTTTTCTGTCTTTAATAGTATCACATAGGAGTGCTACGCAGGGAGACAGTTTAGGTGCTGTCGTATTTACTCATTTAACCCTCCCAGTCATCCTGGGAGGAAGATACTCTCCTTATCTTCATTTTTAAGATTAGTAAACTAAGGCATTAAGAACTAAGTAAGGACTTAGGTTGGGCGGTGGAGGTGCACGCCTTTAAAATTCTAACACTTGGAAATCAGGTACGCTTGGCTGTCTACAAGTTCAAGGCCAATTTGGCTACCGAGTGAGTTCCGGACAGCCAATGCTATACAGAGAAACCCTGTCTAGAAAATCCAAACCAAATCAGGCAAACAAACAAACAAAACCTAAGGACCTGACTCGAGGTCACAGTTTATTTTTGTCTTTTTGTATGGCAGTCCTAAACCTGTGGGTCTCAACCCTTTTGGGGTTTGAGTGATCCTTTCACAAGGGTACCCTAAGACCATCAGAAAACACAGATATTTACATTAAAATTTATAACAGTAGCAAAATTACAGCTATAAAGTAGCAACAAAAAATTTATGGGCCGGGCAGTGGTGGCGCACGCCTTTAATCCCAGCACTCAGGAGGCAGAGGCAGGTAGATCTCTGGGAGTTCGAGGCCAGCCTGGTCTACAAGAGATAGTTCCAGGACAGGCACCAAAGCTACAGAGAAACCCTGTCTCGAAACAAAAAAAAAAAAAAAATTATGGTTGGGGGGGTCACCACAGCATGAGGAACTGTGTTAAAGGGTCTCAGTGTTAGGAAGGTTGAAAACCACTGGTTTTTGGAGGTTGTTTTTTGCTCTTTTTGTTTTGGGTTTGTTTGTTTGTTTGTTTGTTTTTGAGAGCTGGGGTATAGAGTTTATTTAGTGGGTAATGAAGAGGGAAGGGATGGGGAGAAGGGGGAAGGAGGGGGGGAGGGAGAGACGCAGAAGCTGCCACTCCAGAAGGGCAGACAGAAAGCTGTTTCAATATTTTTTGAGACAGAATCTCAGGTAGCCTAGGCTAAACTTGAGCTTGCAACGTGGATGAGATAACCTTGAAAATCTGATATTCTGCTAGGATTAGAACACTTACCAACACACCCAGTTTATGCGCTACTGAAGAGTTAACACAGGGTCTCAGGAGTGCTAGGCTAACACATGCTACCAGCTGAGCTACCT